GGCATTGTCTTTGTAGATCAGGGATCTTAGATTTCTTTCTTGTAACTCCATTTAAGGTTATAAAAATATGTCCATCCATCCAGATATATTTCCAGCTCCTCTTCTATGATACTCCAAACAATTCACACTCTAAGATTAAGGGGAATTATTTTACACTAGCCACCTCAAAATCGTCCATCTCCTCCTCTGTTTCATAGTGAGGCAATTATCTTGATACATTTCACTTAGGGAAGTCAGTGTGACTCAAAGTTCTAGTTCCCAAGAGAAACTAGTAATAACTGGGTCACTCTCCTGTGCAGCTAATTACCTTCTTATTATAAAAAAAAAATCTTGTGTTCAGGTTATTATTATATAAATGGAGATAGGCCACATAAATTTCTCCTAAAAATGAACCTACTTAATTGGTAAGAGAAGACTTTTAAGTTATAAAACTGCCCCTTCCGTCACTGCTTTTATTCTTCTATCTCTCTCTGGTCTCCTTAAATTTCTGCCTTTCTTTGAGACACTGCATCATGAATCTACCCTTCTTGAGACATGCTGTCATTTTATCCCATATTATCTCTGTCCGTATTGAAATTTCATTCAGATAACTGTGCTTTCTCTTGGAATTGATTATATATGGATGCCCCTTTGATATTTTCAATTTGTTTTCCTGTTGTGGAGATTTTCATAGTTTGTGTATTTTGCACTCTCCCATTAACTGTAAACATCCTTTTTAACTATGATAACAAACATCTTGTTTCAGCTAATCCCATCTTATTTGAAATCAGATTTCATTTTAGGAAAAGAGAAAATGCATCTCAGGTCTTTACCTCCAATATTCTGGGGCAGTTTTTTTTCTCTCCAATGTCCCAAACAATGCTTAAACTAAAGGACAAAGCTCAGACAGGCAAACAATGTGGTCACTGCTGAGGATGGCACACACACAAGCTGACAGCTATGAGTCCTAAAATAGAAACATTCTAGGACTGACTGGGCAATGTGAAGAAATAAGAAAAGATCACTGTCCACTGGAGAATAGGAAATCACCTTTTAGGAAAGGAAGGTTAACTTTTATTTTAAACAAAATAAGAACTCAAGAAATAAACTTGAATAAGGAATAAAGGTGTCTTTTGAATGGGTTAAAATGAAACTACTTAATACGAATAATGCTAGCTTTTTCACAACTGTGTCTGTTATGTATATGAGCAGCATTATCAAAGAATATGAATGGACTGAAATTTAGGACATCTGACATCTGGTTCTTGTCATTAAATGTATTACCATGGAAACATTGCTAATCATTCAGACATGCTGGTTTATTTGTTAACTATAGAATAAACTCATTGCATGAATTAATTTCTAATTTCTTTTTCATTTCTATGCAGCACTGTAATTCTCATAATCTTTTTTCATCAAAAATGTTTGTATTCTGTTTTTGAAAATGTGTCTCCTCTAGCCCTTAATGACTGACAAATTTTAACTCTCCAATAAGAAAGCTGGCAAGTTCTAGAATTTAGCTTCAGACAAACTTTCAGGAGTTGCACAAAGTCATCACTGGTTCGAAAGAAGCCAGAAAAATCAAACACGTTTTCTTTTCTCAACACTAACATTCTTGGACCATCAGGATTTATCTAAGAATAATATGTAATAATTCCAGATGTTTACAGAAGAAAAATGAAAGTTTTTATTTTTTTCATAACTAGTCTATTATTAAGAAGTACAAGTTTATGGAGAAGTATTACTAAATACAATTTCCCAGACTGGTACCGATATCAGTTAGCACTTCTCCAAGCACCTGGGAGTTGATCCCCGGCACACACAGGCACACACACACACACACACACACACACACACACACACACGCATATACACATACACACACATACTCATAAATCCTGATATATCAGTGGGAAAGTCACAGTGTTATTTTTGATGTGAAGAGTTGTGTTTATATTTTTAGAAACACATTGATCAGATATTTCTTGGGCCTTTTTTATGTTTCATATGTTGTTTTAAGATTAGACAAAGTGAAGGGGTTCCCTGAAACCCTGAAGTCTAATTTCACATGTCTGAAAAGCTGATTAAAACTATGGTAGGTAAAATATTGCTAAGGGAATAAATACATTATTTGGATCAATTACTACGTGTTCTAGGAGATAGCTCATTTCTCATATGGACCACCTGCAACACTGTCCTACACACAGAACCTCAGTCACAGCCAGTTGCTCATAGGTTTATGCACTTCAGTTTTCTTCACATTAGTGATTAGGGTTCCTGTGGCTACTCTCCTACTTTCCCTCTTTCCAATGAAAATGTGCATAAACTATGTATGAAAACCCAAGAAAATTCACGATCCAAAGATGTGTGTTGGTTTAAGTCATAATGAGTATCCTAAGCAGGATGTATACTCTTCTCTTAGTGCTTCTTTGGTGACTATTTATCCCTTTTTTGCCCTTAGAGCTCTTTCTTACTGTTTTTGTCACTCCTTTTATTCTACTACTGTGCTTCCACTTCCTATCAATTATTCTTCTGTGTGTCTTTTCTTATGCCCATTTTTCAAACATATTAATCATTGTATTATATTTGGGTTGTGATTGTCTCATTTTAGAATGGTTAAAACTTATGAACAGATAAAAATTATGTTACATATAGAATTTCAGAATCTATAATGTGTTCATGTAGCTTGGGAGTTCCCTTTATAAAAATTTAATTGTCTCCTGCACATCAAGAAAAATAGCATTTCTATAGTTTTACCCTAGTAGTAATACAAAATCCTAACTCTGAAAAAGTAATTCAATGACTTTAATTTTCCTAATTATTTCAAATTAATTTTATAAAAAATGCTACTTTCAAGGTAAGAATCCTAGCACATTTGCTTAATAGATTTCTTAGTCTAAAAAGATAAAGTAGTGAACATGATTTTTGGCTTAAACTTTAATTTGTAAGCAACACACAAATGAATTTAGTAAGTCCCAAATGTATTATTTTCAGCAGAGTAGAGGGAACTAACAAAAACCAGTTCACTTTTATTAAGTCTAAGATGTTTTCCAGGTTCAATTCTCTTCCTAAAATCCTTTGTCTTTATCCACTAGTGACCCATATGATCAAAATATGGATAAGTCAAGGAAGAATAGTATAAGTGATTTCAAAGTGGTAAAGTATAGTCTTAAAAACATGAGTGATATATTAACATAATGCTAGGAAAAGTGATTATGAATGCATGTACATAGATATTTAGAGATGATGAAGAATTTAGAAGCTAAAAAATAAATGCACATTGTAGACACAGTAAAGAAATCAAATCAGTTTTTTTTTCTGTCTGTAATATTTTTGCCAAAGTACTACCTTTTGCTATCACATTTTCCCCCCTTGTCCAAGTTTTAGATCATTTATTGCTTTTTCTCTTAGTACCTCCCACTGCAGGGTTACTAACCTTGCTCCTCATGAAGGTTTGAGACTCTTAGTACATCATTTCCTCATTGCTCCTTCACTGTTAGCAGAAGTCACTCAGAATAACCTGCCTTGTTCAGCATAAAGCAGGGAGAGTTTTTTCTCAGTTGCCTGGATGGAATGCTTCAAAATGTCTTAACTGCATGACTTCTCACAAACTTCAGCTTAATAAGACCTTCACTCATCTAATTCCATTCCATGGATATTCTCATCTATGCTTTTATAACTCAATTTGGTGAAGGAAATATTTTAGTCCTTTACTTCTTCAGTCAATTTATCCTTATAATTGTCATGAAATACTGGTTTTCAAAAAATTTTAGTAAGCCATTTATCCTCCAGCTTTCAAAGCCATATTTTATTTTAGTAAATATACTAATATAAATACAACACATACAAGGGTAAATATTTTAAGATTTTATTTTTAAAGTTCTGAAAAATCAAAAGCAATTACTGTTACGTAAAACAATTTATATGCCTTTTTGTGGATATTATAAATAAAGGTCTCCATGATGTTATTTTAAATTCCTTTAATATTTACTTAATAGCAGACATACAGTTTACCAGGTACATATAATATACAACACCTACTGTTTTGTATTTAAATTATATCAGACTTTCACCTCTGTCAATAAAGGGAATAAATAGATGATCATTTTTTGTGCTGAGGATATCTTCTGTATAAATAGAATTCCAGAAGAAATGTAACTAAATGCAACAGCATTGGGTCAATATTTTTGATACATAATTTCAAAATATTTGCTTCAAGGTGTGAAATTAGTCTATATAGCCTTCAGCAATGTATGAAAGTGCCTGTTTCACTGAATCTTTGCCACCTTTAATAATAATAATTGAGAAAAATTTAACTCAATAGGAAAATAATAGTATCCTATTTTATCATATTTCATTGATTTTGAAAATACATATATTCATATCTTATTATTCATTAATTTACCTATGAAGTTTTGGGGTTTCTCCTGAATGGTCTAAGCTCTTTTTGATACTAATGAAATATCAAAATTTTGTCTCTCTACAGCTTTCAAATTCAAGTAGAGACCAATTTATATGTTAGTTTGGGGTAGTCCATTTCAGGCACATGTAAGAACTACCTTTTAGAGATGTTTATTAATATGCATTATGTTCTTATGTTTAATATTATTATTTACGACATTTATAGGTTTGAAGATTTAAAATTCTGCAGAACTATTTTAACTGGTTTTCCATATTAACATATTTATTTTTTAACTTTATTCTTTTCTTCACCTGAATTTTTGAGCTTGTTTTGCTCATTTTTCAAACTTCTTAAATTCTCTGATGATTTCTGAATTTGAGCAAATGAGAATGCTTAAAATATTACATAGCTTCTAAGAGCAACTTTTCTGTACTCTGAAAATGCTTTGTATCCAGGGTTCCAATTGTTTTGTAAATAACCTACTGTCCACTAAATAAAAGATTCCTTGTTAGTAATCAATTTAAAATTATCAATAATTAGCCCATTATTTTCAGCAACTCTAAATTGATTTCTTCTTTTCTTTCAGATTATTTCAGGTTCTCCTCTTCTTTCTAAATCAATGGACCAAGTAAATGACTCTGTGATAGCTGAATTTGTGTTACTGGGACTTGCTCAATCCTTGGAAATGCAGTTATTCCTTTTCCTCTTTTTCTCTTTATTTTATGTGGGAATTCTTCTAGGAAACTTCATTATTGTTTTCACAGTAATTATTGATTCTCACTTATACTCTCCCATGTATTTTTTTTTGGCCAATTTATCACTAATTGACTTGGGTCTTTCATCGACCACAGTTCCTAGAATAATCTATGATCTTTTCACTGCCCATAAAGTCATTTCCTTCCACAACTGTATGACACAAATTTTCTTTATCCATGTTACGGGTGGGGTTGAAATGGTGCTACTCATAGCAATGGCATATGACAGGTATGTAGCTATCTGCAAGCCTCTGCACTATCTAACTCTTATGAATTACAAAACATGTGTGCTTTTGGTAATTGCTGCCTGGGTCATAGGGGTGATTCATGCTTTGTCTCAGTTTGTCTTTCTCATAAATTTACCTTTTTGTGGACCCAATTATGTAGGGAGTTTTTATTGTGATTTTCCTAGGATTATTAAGCTTGCATGCATGAATACCTATGGACTAGAATTTGTAGTCACTGCCAACAGTGGCTTTATATCTATGGGCACCTTGTTTTTCTTAATTGTGTCATACATCTATATTCTAGTTACTGTTCGGCAATATTCTTCCAAAGATTTATCAAAAGCATTTTTCACTTTGTCAGCTCATATCACTGTAGTGATTTTGTTGTTTGCTCCATGCATATTTCTCTATGTGTGGCCTTTTCCTACTAAGTCACTGGATAAGTTTTTTCCCATTGTGGACTTTGTTGTTACTCCTGTCTTAAATCCTGCCATCTATACATTAAGGAATAAAGATATGAAGTTGGCCCTGAGAAGGCTGAGTCAAACATGTGGATGAACATCTTGGACCACTAAGACCCTGCAATCACTGTAAACACTGTGGAATGCATACATTTTTTAATGAGAGGTCTAAAGACAAATTCCAAAAGAACAAAAGATATATTAAATCAACAGATTTCACTTTAGGTGGACTTGTAGCAACTTTTTTTAATCATAAAAAGTATGCATTTCTGTCTAAATTTCATGCCTAAATTACAATTACTAACAATGATTACACTGAGTTTTGATGTACTTTTTATTTTGTACAAATTTTTATGATTTAAACATATTGGAATCATAATATTAATAACACACATCACTGAAAATTAAGAGATATTTCTTATGGATATTATATCAATTCAGTGGATGAAATGGGTTTATGTAAAACAAAGACATAGGGAAAAATAATTCTTATTTTAAATCCTTATTTTACTTTATATTAGATGAGTAGAAAAATTGATGATATATTATAGCTCAAGTATTCTTTTTAATCTGGTTTTCAATGTGTTTTGTACAGTATCATTGTAGAAATATCCTCCACCACTTTACATGAAGAAAAATTTTTGTCTGTTCCATCTTTGAAGCAGCACAGTTCTGTTGCTTTTGCAGTCTTACTCAAACAGTTTTTAAATTAGTTTATGTTTGCAATATATAATAACAATCCATCTGGAGAAATGGTACTGATACATTGCATCTCTTGGTCAGTTTTATTCCCTCTTCTCCCCTCTTTCTCTTCCAGAGCTCCCCTTGCCATAACGAAAGGATCATTCTCCTTGATTTTTGCCCTCTCTTTGATTTTGCTCTTTAAATTGTTTATATCTTGAATACTAGAGAAACCATTACCTTCCATGTTTGATTTATTTCACTTAGCATTATGGGGTCAAAATCAATCCATTCTCCTACAAATGATTTAATTTCTCCTTCTTTGTAATATCCCATTGTGTACATATACTGCATTCCATATTCATTAAATAAAGCATGAAAAATTCTAGAAGTGCTAAATGAGATACATTTGCCAGATGAAGGTGCTCCACCAAATAGCAAAACTTGTCTCAGTACAAGGAAGGTGATTGACATCTTTTAGATAAAACCTGGAAATCTGGGTAATGAAGAAGCAAAAGTGAGACCTCATTTAGATGTTGTTTTAGTAGATTTAAGAAATATTAATTGAGGCATTTAAGCCCATTTTTAAATGCTACATGTTGATTGAAGCTATTGAATAAAATAGTAAGTGATATGTGAGATATTCTATTGCTACTCGAGGTATTATTCTTATGTTTTCTCCATACACTGATCATCAGTATTGCATGCTGTTTTCACCTTGTCAAATCTAAGCATTACCATTCACCTCTGTAGGCCTATTAGAGTTTAATTTAAAATTTTCTCTTATTTGTTTTATCATGATTATTCACCTTCAGACTCAGATAGTGAAAATATTCAAATGGGCCAAGAAACTGTGACACTGTTCCTTAACTCAAGATTTTGTTTTCCTTCTAATGACTGAGGGAAATCCTGTGAGATCATGAATTAGTCTCAGTGCTCCAAGCTGAGGCTGGTCATTTTCATGGCTCTTCATCTGCTTTTCATCATCTTCATAATGAACTCATAATTAATTTACTAAGGAAGAAAATAAACATTTTCCTCTTTCAAATTTTAAAATTTTTAGAAGGTACATATAAAAGGAAATCTGTACTCTTCTTTCACTGAAAATTGCTATAATCTCTTCCCTTTATGAAGGAGGTAGGTGACATGATGAATATAACTTATATGATAAACATATTAGTAGAACTAATAAATCTCAGCCTTTTATCAACAATGATATGTTTCTGTTAGTAGAAACCATTTTTCAGAATTCATGTTTTTATCTTAGGAAAAATGGAAAGATTCTGTCGGTAGGTTTAAATATTTAAAAGACTTGTTATAAATATTATAAAATATAATTTTCATTTTTAGGGTTCTCTTGGAAGCAACTGTTGAGTCCTTTTCCTAATATTTTTGGGCCAATCTATCCTTTACTACTCAGTGGCCCTGCTCTTATTTTTTACCCCAAATCCAGCATTTGTTTGTCCACTTTCTTAGCTCCTTCTTACAATACCAATAAAAACTGAATGGGGACATAAAGGTGCAATTCACGCTGGTATAGCTACTGAGATTTTAAAAGCTTTTATAAACAAACACTTTTTGAAAAACAAGAAAACTAAGATTCCAAAATTTTGAAAGGCATGACCAAAATCATGCAGTGAATTTCTGCTAGAACTTGAGTTCCTGACTTCGATCACAATGATAGTTATAAAGACACACCGTGTGTGCCTTAAAGAAAGGTAAAAGTTATTTTAAGAAAAATATAAAATTGTAATAGCTGAATTGAAAACATAATTAGTGCCTGGGGGAAGTATTTACTTTTTCAACTGTGGCTGGCTTTTCAGGAATTTTATAACTAGTGTGTGAGATTCGGGAGAACACCAATGTTATAACTTAATGTTAGAAAAATACAGTTTCAAAACTTTTGAATGACTTTTTAAGAGTCCTAATTTGGTTGTGAAAAATTAGGGGGGTGCAGGATAGTTGTAGATGTAGCTGAGGATCCAATATTATCACTCTCCTCTTTGTAGCATAATTTCAAGATATATGGTGTGAGAAATAGTTGAGCAAGAAACATATTACTGAACAACGGCATTCTGGAATTCTTACTTGTCACTGTTAATAGAAATTCGTTTTTGCTACAAATGAGAATCCTTGAGTCAACCTCCCTCACTGGTATATTTTTATTGGAGATATAACTTTAAATTTATTTTCACTAGTAAACTGAAATAGATTTACAAAAGAAAAATGCAAAATTGGTTACAAATTAAATGCTTTGATGACAAACATTCCAACCAATTTGCCACATCAAAAATGATCTCTATGTTCCTATACTCTGCATTAACAATGATTTTTTTTTTTTTTTTTTTTTTTTTTTTTTTTTGGTACCAGAGATCATGACCTTGTGATTGCCAGGCAGGCGCTTGTGCCACTGAGCTAAATCCCTGTCCTATCAAGGGTTATTATGATTGCATTTATTGCTATGTTAAACAGAAAGGAGCTAAAATGAGTGTCTATGATTTATTTCACCATTGGACTTCTCTCTGTGCTTAGAAAAAATTAGTCACTAAATTTTGTAAGATAGAAACAGTATCAAGTTGCTTCAGTGACTAGCATTCTCAATAATGAAAAGTGTAATATACAAAGGCAATGGGAACTTATAATCAAGTAAGTGAGCAAAAAAAACAGTAGTGTTCCTTTAAGAACACTCTGGCCTCATGTCACAAGTCACTGTTTAGTGTCTCAGCAATGTACTAGAGAGTGACTTAGAAGAATATACCAGCAATGACTCCGTATATCCAGACAGTTATCCCTATTCTTTACTGTCTCCCAAATTCATTTGTATTCCTCAAATTCATCTATATGTGAGGTAGAATTACATTAGTTTTCATTATACTTATTATGAGACTCAAAGCTTTCATATTGTTCCCAATTATTCAGAATAAATGTGTTTGAATGATATATTTTTCCTGTACATGGTTGGCAAAGTTCTATTATTTTTCCCTAATTTTTTGACTACTTATTGTATGCTAGATAATTTATATCCTTGACCACATTCAATTCCCTATGCACTCCTATGAAGTAGTACCACTATCACCCATCCTGTCCAGATCTGACCATAAGACTGAAAGCTTTGAAATGACTTGTCCAAAGTCATCCAGCAACATAACAGATAAACCTAGGATTTGAATACTAGTATTCCAGCCCAAATACTTTCTCACTCTGTTCCTGTTCATACAATCACTACCTGCATTTGGTACCTACTTTTGGGCTTAAATACCACTCTAAATTCAGATTCATAACAGATATAATTTATTAAGCAATTATTGCTAATTCCTCAATAGTTCATCACTGTTTTCATAATAATGCTTAAATAGTAAGCATTCTAAAATTTCTTTTCATCTTGCATTAAACTGTTTCACACTTTCAGTCATGTAAACTGTTGCATTTTTGTCATATTTTTCACTCATCCTTTGGATTCTCCTTTCTTTTATCCTTTCCCACTTTTTAAATCTTATGTTTTTTATATTTTCATTCTTTGTTCTATTTTCATCTTTCTTTCATTTTAGCATATCTTTTTCCTAAGACTTTTAGCATCATCAAATTATATAAGACATATAAAACAAGGGCTGGGGATTTAGCTCAGTGGCATAAGCACCTACCTTGCAAGCGTGTGGTCATGAGTTTGATCCCCAGTACCAAAAAAAAAAAAAAAAAAAAAAAAAAAAAAAAAACCACCCAAAGATATATACAACATAATAAGCACTGTTTTTGAATGTATGAGAAAAAAGAGATAGATGTAAGGTAGCAGCATAGATTCGATCTGACAATTAGAATAGCACAAACTATATTAGGAATAATCCTACAATGAATGGGGACACTGGAAAGACTTGGATAAATGAACAATTAGGCATAACCAAGGTATTAGAGTGGAGTAAAGCCTTAAGTTCAGCGTGACAATCCTGACTATTTCTTCATCATTTTTTCCAAGGGCACCGCAGAGGTTATCTTCTGGAATGAAACAACAATTAAAGCAAATTACTCACTGATCACTGAGTTCATTTTTCTTGGACTGTCCAATTCTCAAGAACTCCAGATTTCCATATTTATGTTCTTTTTTGTTTTCTATGTGGGAATTGTGTTCAGAAACCTTCTGATGGTGATAACTGTGGCTTCTAACTCCCACCTTCACTCTCCCATGTATTTTTTCCTGGCCAACTTTTCAGTCACTGATTTGTCTCTATCTTCAGTCCCCCAAGATGCTTATTGACTTTTTCAGTAAACACAAATCCATCTCTTTCAGGGTGTGTCTTGCACAAATATTCCTCCTTCACTTCTTTGGTGAGAGTGAGTTGGTGATCCTCCTAGCCATGGCCTTTGACAGATATGTAGCAATTTGTAAACCCTTGCACTACCTGACAATTATGTGCAACAGTGTATGCATTGGAATTGTGGCTGCTGCATGGGGAACTGGCCTCCTCCACTCAGTCAGTATGTTGGCCTTTGCAGTGAACCTGCCATTCTGTGGTCCCAGCAAGGTTGATAGCTTTTACTGTGACCTTCATAGGGTAATCCAACTTGCCTGTACAGACACCTACAAGCTAGACATCATGATCATTGCTAAGAGTGGTGTGCTCACAGTGTGCCCTTTTGTCCTCCTACCCATCTCCTACACTACCATTTGAATGACCATCCAA